AAGGCGCAGTACAGTTATGACCCTGGTTGGGACAAAGCAGGGTCATTCGCAGTATGGAAGATGTCAGCGCTCGAACTTTCGTCGAGATGGCGAGCTTGGCCCATATCCGGTAGACAAGGCGCACATTATATCGCCCGATCTGCCCGGGCGACGTGAATCAAGCTGACGGTGTAGCCGCCAGCCGAAACTATCAGAATATGTCGGACGCGGAAGTTTGCACACTCTCCCTAATCGCTCGCGGACAGAAGGATGGAATGCTCGGTGCGCATGAATGGCATGGTCTACGGGCGAGGTGGGTGCGTCAGGCAAGAAGGTTCTCACCAACGCGGCGCGCAGGCCTCGCGAGCTGCCGCGCCTCCCGCCCGATGCCTTCCGCCCTCATCGCAGAAATGCTACTGCCGCTCTTTGTTCGCTCCGCGCCCGTCTATTCACTTCAATTGACATCTCGCAGGCATATGGCAACGAGTAAGATGAGTGATGGGTGCCACGTCTGGGCAATCCCTGCAATATGCGCCCGGGGAAGCGCGACGACCATCAGCCTAGACCTGTTGTGTACGCTCGCCCTGCACTTCTCTGATGCGCAGCGCCGCGGGCGAAAGATTCGGAAGACGTGACCCAGTGGGCTTCCCAGGTATGATTTGGGGTGTGGGTGCCTATCACGCTCTACCGCCTTGTTCTAGCCTGCGGTGGGCGAAGCGCCGGCATATAATAGCGCCTGGCAGCGGTTTGAATCGCCTTTGTGCGCCCCTACGGAAGGGCTACCTTGTCTCTATCCCTTTTGCATATTCCAGGCCATACGCGCGGCCGATACGTCCTTTGATCCACCCAGCTGTATCGGAAGTATATTAGACGACTCACGCCGCCGCCGGCCACCAGCTCCTGTCTCGCACAGCTTGCGGGTCGAGACCAACCGAAACCCCAGTATTTACAAGCAGCCTTCTGGAGCTCGACTGGATTATCCACTTTTACCTCCATCGTCTTACAACAATGTCCTACTCTCGTCCTCTGTCGATGTTCGCGTCGTCGTCCACCCCCAAGGCTCGCCCGCCCATGATCGAAGTCTTTCCTGAAGGGAGTGATGGCGGTCTGCCTCCGACCTCGCGTATCTGGGAAGAAGGTATTCGATGGCACTCGGGCGCGTACACGGCTGCCTGGGCGTCACCGAAGCTTATGGTTGTGTATGAGTGTATTCGAACTCGTGAGTAATCATTCGTGTGGATTTTCGGATCCGGCCGCTGACACTCTTCTCGCAGACGTGAGCCACAACAACAACAACGTGTGTTCTTTTGACGTACATCTCCTTCGATTCAAACTTACGTCTCTTCAGCCACTATATGACCGTGGTTATTACTGGCGGAGAGCATCACCCAGCCTGCCACCCGCACCGGAGGAGCCGTACACTTCGACGTCATCCCACTCTGCACCTTCGTCGCCCAGCAGCTCTACCCCGGCACGTCGCTTGCACCCGTCCTCAGTGCCAGCATCGCAAGCCGGGGCTGTCCTGTCCAAGGTCTATGCGGCAGCATCAGTACCCATATTCACCCCTGCGACAAATCCAGACGCCTCCGACGCCGGCCGTCGAGGCTCAAATACCGAATACACCCGCTCTGCGTCGTCCACGCCTCCTTCTCCGAACTATCAGTTGCAGGCTGCGCCAGCATTGTTTGCAGAAGAGCCACGAGGCGGTGTGTCATATACCCAGGCGAACGCATCCGCGCAGTACGGGCGAGGTCAGGGGCTTGGTAACGAGCCTTTCCCCCCTATACAGGCGACCTACGGCTATGCTTGATTCCCTGCCTTAATCTTCCATCCTCGCATGCTCTCCTCTGGAGTGCCATACACACCTCACATCGCATGTGCCACTGCTTACTACCATCTTCATTGGGCTTCCATCCTTGGTTCTATAATTTATGGTTTGCGTCACACCATACATTACCAGCTTCCTCGGTCTTCTTGTTATACGGTTTTTACGTATCAATCGGAATGTTTGTATTGCATAGTTCCATCCACTTGCTTCGTTGTCCCCCATCGCATGATATACACTGCTATCGCTCATCTGTGCTCTTTCTCCGCCTTCGCCTTTGCTCTCGTGATACGATTTCGTGCTTCCTTCAGGGCGGTTTGGCCGTACACGCACCCCCGAGGCCCCTTGCACCCCGTAAACGTACGCCACTAGCACCCCCGCAATTAAGATCGGACGCTGGTCTGCGTGTCGCACGACTCTTTACGTCCCAACGCCGCCCGAGGCACGCTGAGAATCTGAACCAGCGAGGGTCTCGAACTTCGATCGACATCGCTCAGACAACGCATCGAGGAGACGGACGAGTTCCAGCTGCATGAGTGCCTAGTGAGATCTTCGTAACCTGAAACACTCAGGCTAGGTGTGTGGGTGGAGGGAGATTTGATGGGTTTCTAGCGCCCATTGGCGTCTACAGAGCTGATCGTTGCAGGGAATTGTGCTCCGATGCTCGGGATGCCCGCTGTACACCGAATACGGGCGTCTAGGCCCGTACGACTCATACTTTAGCAGAGCAGCAAGCGACTCGGAAATGCGGAACTGCGGAAGGGTCATTATAGTGAAGATTCGGCTCGAATGACCGGTTCTATACACCTCTAGGTCGTACAATCAGCTTTTACTTTCCCTTTTGGGGTTTGGCTTAGAGTAACCGGAGCAGGTCGCTCATGACACCCATAGCCGTGACGGCGGCTCCAGCTCCGGCACCCTGAACTATGAGCGGGCGTGCACCGTAACGCTCTGTATGGAACATGATGATGTTGTCACTTCCGCCAAGGGAAGTTGCAAAGGGATGCGTGTTAGGATATCTGCATCTGTGCATGAGCAGGAGGGACAGACATGGAAGGATCGTGCTCACTGTTCGAGGCTAGCCTTGATCGTGCCACTCGCTACGTCGATAACGCCGACGTACCGCAACACCTTGCTCTCCTTGGCAGCCTCCTCGCGCATGGTATCGAACTGTGAATCGAACTCCGGCAAGCGCGCAATAAAGTCATCACCCGTTGCGGCATCCTCAAGTCCCTTCGGTATGAGCGAGGTTGTCTGAACGGATTTGTAGCCTTCGGGCAAAGCAGCACGTAGCTGCGGCAGCACGCGCGACAGGATCGTCAGTTTGCGTGCGACGTCTGCGCCGTTAAGGTCATCTGCGGGGTGCGGCTCCGTATAGCCCTTCTCGCGCGCAGTCGCCACGACAGAAGAGAACGTCGGGCCGGACGGTGCGCCGGTAGAGAAGTTATTGAAGATGTAGGACATCGTGCCGGAGAATACTCCCTCGATCTTTGATACCTATACGCACCGCTTTGAGTTCTAGCCAGTAGAGGATAAGCGCGAGCGTCATACCTTATCGCCAGTGGCGATGAGGTCCTTGAGCGGCCCGACAACAGGCAGACCGGCACCCACGGTCGCCTCGTTCAGGAAGCTCGCGCCACTCTCTGAGCTTGCAGACAGGATCGCCTCATAAAGCTCAAGATCAGACGAAAACGCCTTCTTGTTCGGCGTCACGACGTGGACGCCGTATCGCAACATCTCGGGGTACGCGCGCGCCACATCGTCGCTGCTCGTGTTATCCACGAACACGACATCTGCACCGGGGCGCACGAGACCCTCGAGCTCGCGCGCAAGTTCAGACAGGCTCATGCGCGTAAAGGGCGTCTTCAAGTCATTTTGCCAGTCCTTGTGGGCGCCCTCAAAGTCCAGCCCATCGGGATGGAAAAGTGTGGTTTTGGATGAGGACAGCGCAACGATGCGGAACGGAGAGGGATCCAGAGAACGCAACTGGCGTACGAGCTCTGCGCCAACCAAGCCGACTCCAGTGATGGCTACAGATATGCGAGCAGAGTGGGACATCGTGCGCAGTGATCTGCTCGTAGTGCGAGTCAAAGTAGTGAACTTCTTGCGGTTGTGGCCGAGGCCGATGGCGCCGAAATGACGGCAGGCCGCGGTGAACACGGTCACATGTCTTTGTAGAGTAGGTGGTAGTTATCCCTTACTTGGGGGTACTCGGAGAGGGACGCGGCCATTACAATGTACATATAGTAATAGATCATACAACTTCAATGCGTTTGCTAATCGTCCTGAACTAGTTCTATCGCCACGCACCAAAACACCCTCCCCCAAGGTTCACTCCCTTGGCCCTCGCGTTTACGCTCGCAGCACATGAAGCGAACGGGTTGACCGTCCCAGTACCGCATTAAGTCAAAGCTTATACCACCAGGAAGGTTGAGTGCCGGGGTGGGGACGAAGGTGAGGAAGCCGTAGGCGAAGTCTGTGGTAATGGTATCCTGTATGAGATGTCAGTATCTGTCGAAGTTTTAAAACTTCAGGGCGGACCTCGGGACCGAGCATAACTTCTTTCCTATGCTTCTCGTCGGCAAAGTAGGTGCGCCGTGCACGCGTGTTTCCCGCAGGGATCTTTGCCGCGACACCGGCGCTTGACCCTTCCTCCGATCCAGATCTGGAGCTTCGAGATGACCAGCTTCTTTTGGTCTTCTTCGCCTTAACGCCCGCCACTTTCTCGACGGGCGAGACATCCCTTTCACTCCCGTCAGAGGACATGCTGGACAAGCTGGAGCTCGATCGACTTGATGCCGGCGAGGACGGAGGACTGCTAAGAGCGAGTTGCGTCACATCGTCTCCTATCGACGTGCGATTCGTAGACGGAAAGTTGGGCCCGCCATCGCGCGAGTGAACAAGGTACGGCATCGTAGAGAGTAGAGGAGAAAGCGCCCAAGGCTTTGTCTTGGAGCCAAGATCGTGCTCGAGCGTGGGGTCGACATACCTGTTCACCAGCGATTAGCCTATGCCTGGGACTACACGATACGAAGGGGATATACGCACTTCATAAATTTGAATGCCGCACCGACACCCCATGGCAGGGTCAGCGGACGGGAGAACGTGTTTCCGAAGAGAACATCATTGGCGGAGACTTCATTCAAGAACCTGCCTGCAGACGGTTAGACTGACACTGACATAGGTAGCGCCCGGACCACACACCTTGAACCTGTATGCTCCAAGTTACACCTTTCCTCTCCGGCCGCTCAAAATACTCCGAACTCAGGACGTTGCCGTTCTCGTCAGGAAAGTCCTTTATGTACGCGGCGATTTTGCCCTTAAATAGGGGTGAAGAAACATCGTGCGCTTTGCCAGTGTTGACGCTGATGGGGACGAGCGCATCGAGGGATGGACCGGCGACGACACGAAGGCGTGGCATTTGTGCAGCGGGGAAATGGTAGACCAAGCAGCAATCTGGGAGAGTTATGTACTCCCTGCTGGAGCCAGTCCAGTCTCAGATGCACCAAGTCGAACGACAATGACAGGGGCGCTTCAGCGTGTCCGGGAGGTTACAAGGCGCACAGGTTTTGAGGGTGTCGAATCACAGGCCTGCTGCGATGAGGGAAAGGGTAAAGAACTTCCTAAGAGGGTCATCGGTGGCATGGGCTGGATATGATTCTGGAGTTGCCCTGACGATGGTGGTCACCGCGAGCCATTGTTGGCGCGTCCAAATGACGCGCCGATCGACGTTCCCGCACCGTCGTTGAGGCGCGCGCATGCGAATGAGGGAGATAATCTCGTAGGATCGCTACTTTCGGGTATTTCGAGTGACACTGAGCTCACTAGTCGGTAAGTGAGGCGCTGAGAACAACGCGACTGCGCACACCGCCTCTACCATTCGTGCCAGCTTTTCACAGGGAAGCCGACGTGTGCCGATCCTAACCGGAGCTCCGTCTTTGAACATGGTGTGAAAGATACTGATGAGAGTGTAAGATATACGCAGTTCCGAAGTGCGAATGGTATGGAAGAAGGTGCGCATGATCATAACGGGGAGGAAATAGTTATAAGGGCTATGCGAAAGCAAAATGCGACAAACAAGACGGGGTACACGAATAAAGTTCAATCCAGTCAGATGAGCGTGGTATATAGCAACATGTGATGGCACAGCGTCAAAGAAAGCCCGATTGTAAACCAAGAGTGCCTCCAAGGGGGTAGAGGTTGCGCGAGATGACCAGGGGAAAAGACCAAAAGAGTGACTATAGTCTCTGTCAGTTTCTTGCTTGATACATTGGGCATGGATCGACGCACCAGTGGGGTACCAGTACAGAGATCCGTCAAGTGAAGGTTATGTTATAACCAGTAGACCGCCGTGGTCAGGAAGAGAGCCGTTGTCACGAAGACCTTCGGGATAATATGCAGCTTGTCTGCCCCGCTGGCATTCGACGAGTCGGGGAGTGAGCTGGCGACCACAGCGAAGGTGCTCCCGCATCGCGAGTTCTGCTGCTCGGCGGCATCGTTGTACGTTTGTTTGAGCCCATCCACTGACGGCGCCTCGCTCATGTACAGCGCCATTATGCTCTTCGAACAGGTCGAGCATGACGGTGTCGCGCTCGTCGGGAGACCTAACCCGAACGGCAAGGAGTACAGGTACAGATCTGACGGATTGGTGGAAGCAGCAGCCTCGACGTAGCAGTATGAACCCGTGGTCGAGTCTGCCAAGCAACCAGCTTGACGGAGGAGGCCGTACGTTTGCAAACCTTAAACATGTCAGTCAGATCATGAGACTCGTTGAGATGATGATGACAAGACATACTGGCAAGAGACTGTACGACCTCGGCGTTCTGGGACTTGAGATCGTCCGCACAATCCGTCTTCAGCTGATCGGCAAACCAAGCCATGTTGGATGAGCATTGGTCCTCGGATAGAGCTGTGTTGCAGGTTCCCCAGACGTCCACGTTGAGCTGCGATACATTCGTCTGCGCCTGCTTCAACCTTGTTAGCATTTGAACGGATGCACTGAGATGCGAGTAGACTGTACTTGAAGGAACTCGCTCGAAACTTGCGATAGGAACGAGAAGGCGCGGCATTGACGAAAGGGCAGCGTTCCCGTCATGTTCGTCATGAATGCGGAACATGATGAGCTCATATTGGTCGAAGAAGCCATCGCCGTATCAAAAGGCTGTGGGAAAGGCGTGGGCAAGATGGGCGCTGATTCGGGTATCGTGGGTATGCCTGTACTGCTAGCTGTGGACGTTGCAGTCTGTGACGCCGCCACCGAAGCCGAAGCTGTAGACGTTGGGAAGAGTACAGACGAGCCGGCGTCACCAGTCGCAGTGAGTGTTGCGATACTGGCTACCGCACTGCCGGTATTCTGTCTGCGTGAATGTGGTTCGTGGATGTGCGCCGCGTTCCAATCAAGTGCGGGATCCGCAGAGTCTCCCGTAAAGAAGTCCATAGCCGCAGGATGGCAGATGTATCGTGTCGAGAGTGTGATGAAAGCGAGCGCTAGTGGCACCAAGAGTACAGAAATCGCTGTTCTACGGCCTATACTGCGCTTTTTGGCATGCACTACGCTGGCATCTGCCAAAGTGTCCGATCGCGTGCGTTGTTTGGGAGGCTGCGCCAGCACGAATGGGTCGCGACCCTTTGCAGGAGAGGGCATCGGACTGGGACTCAGACTCGAGCGTGATGAGGACGAGGATGGTAGGGGTGATTGCGGCGCGACGTAGGAAGTCGTGCCCTGCATCGGCAACGGTGACGGCGGTGGCGTGAACATGGCTTCGGACGACGGTCACCGGTACGAAACGAGCGTGAGGGGGTAAACGAGTGTGAGCTTCAAAAGAGCGTCGAGCTTTATGCTCTGTCTGCCAACAATAATTTGTATCAGCATCCCGTCCTCGTCAAATAATGTTCCCGACTCACAGAGATGTCGAACTATGGCAGCCTGCCTCGTACGGTGATACCGCGCGCGGAACGGAGACAACGGCCGTCGCACCCAAAGAACGGAGATGAATGCAGCAAGTCAAGAGCCAAAGCAAGTGCCGCAGGTGGGCCTCTCCGCCTTAATACAGTCCAGCCTTACAGGAACTGCAGGTCGGCGACCGCGGGCCTGGGCCTCCTAGTCTCTCAGGCGCTCTTGCTCCATTCACTCCGCATCGCTTCCTGACGCACACGAACAGCGCTCGGAACATGCTGTTTGATGGTCATATTGGTCTTGTGCAAGACTAGGCGCCTGGGCCGTATGCATGTCGTTGTAGGAAGAAATCCCTTCACAAGTACGAGAACTGCCAGGGACGCCTTCTCCAGGTTCAGGACGACGTGCTGTGGATCTGGGGCAAGCCCCAGGAACGGTCAAGCTCACAGGCACACGCTTCTCGCACGCCCTGGCGCGCGTCAGAAACTCGCGTTCAAGTCGACCACCATGATCTCAGCATTGCCTCAATAAATACACAGCGTTGAATGCCCGAACCGACGCAATCGACTCTCTGATACCTCCCACTCTATCTGCCCGCGACCTACGTTACGTCCGATCAGTGGCGTATAACGTGATGGCTACAGATTGCGCGTTTCAGCGGTTCTTGCTCAATTTCGGTATCAAGGAAAAAACCGAACCATTGCGAAGTGATCTGGACGTATAATGTATATCATCAAGCTGCTAGGCCCGCGAACTAGTGATTGAGAGGGCTGGCGCAGCGGCTCTGCCTATGTTGTGCCATCGCCGGTGTCCAAGCTTGAATCTGGTGCGATTCGCGACTGCCCGGAGATTTCAGCTTCTTTCCAGACAGAGGGGTCTGGCTCTGTAGAATGGCATGATTACCCTTGCATTTCCTGTCCTCGTCTATGCTGGGTTTCATATGGGATACATCTCTCGGGGCGTCTCGAAGGCGGGTGTGTGGGAGACTCATCTCGGAAGCCACCTACAGGTGTTAATGGAACATCACCGCGAATTCTAGATCAGCTACTGGGCCTTGAAGACTACCATCTCGCGGGAATTGGGGTCCTGGGTGAGCTATGAATGAGTAGCAACTTTCGTATCCCACCCACTCACGTTGTTCAAGACGTTGCCATGCGTTGCCGAACACCCCCGCGAAGATACGGGGCTCTCACATGTGGCAGCGTAGAAGTAAATATGGCTGGAATTTACTTTGGCTGACTCTCGCGCATATTCCGCCCGGTGACCGGCGAGCTCCCATGCGATGGGACGAGCTGCGGCACATTCGTTATTCAGTTCGATCCAGATGGAAGGTCTTGCGGTGTCCAAGCGGACGGTAAGGCGCGTGTAATTGAGCACCATGCACCATACTTACTACATGCGCGGCTTTCAGACTGATTAGTCCAGTCCTCAGACCATACAGTCTGCGTAGATGGACGTGAAAGGTGAATTGGGAGCTGAGAGTGCTGGAATAGCTAGGGGTGATTGAGTCAACCTCACGGAATACTGTGTAGCTCATCATACACTGATGTGGCGTTAGTACGGCTGTGACTGTAATACACTTCTCGCATCGATGTAGAGCAAAGTGAGGTATCTCATGAGCAATTCATGAGTTGACAACTCTAGGGAAAGTACCGCGGGGACAGAGACGAATTTCGCTTAGAAGCCTCCCGAAGGCCCCGAGGTTGCTGAGCCTAAAATATCATGTTCTTTCGGGTGAAGGTCGGTCCTTACGGGAGAGTAGGGTACGGCAGAGTGAAAGTGTACGAGATTTGAGACCATACATGATGTCTGCTTATCGTGGTGTACTCAAGGCGAGATGGCCGAGCGGTCTAAGGCGCCAGACTAAGGTTCTCATTCCGTTCATCTGGTCCGAAAGGGCGTGGGTTCGAATCCCACTCTCGTCACATGTTTTGCCGCCCTTCAGGGCGGTACAGCTTTCAGCGGTAGCAACTGACAGTGTAGTCGTGGAGGATCGCGTATGGTTTTTGTCGAAAATTATTCAGACGAGAACATGACAAGGGCTGGAGATGTCGGACTGTTCACAGCGCTACTGTACATGAGAGAGCCACTACGTGCATTTGGCACCATACCAACAAGTCACAATTTCGGCTGCTTTACCCTCACGATCGAGGATCCGGAAGGCGTCAATGGTGAGATTGGTCGTCATTGGAGGATTGTCGAAGCCACGCGAGTCATCTCTGCGAGAAGTAACATTACTCCACGACAGCAAGGTCTGTTCGTACTTCTACATTTGACGTAGCATCGTCGTCGCGCAACACCTCTTGCGTACCAGCTTCACCCTCAGCAACGGCTTGGTCTTGAAGTGGGCTCTGATCACCGTTACCGTCTTCAGGTACATCGGAAGTCTTCTCGACCTCGTATCCTCTCGCATCCTCCTCTTCACCCTCGCCCGTCACGCTTGCCATCAGCCGACCGTTCGCATCCCTCAAGTCAATCGGCGACACAATTTCCCCGGTTGCACGCCCTCCCGGTCGTGCTGTCCGGCCCAGCAGTTTCACTCGACGCGTGCGCAGTTTCGCCGCTTGGCTTGCGTGAGGTACGAGAAAGCCGTTTGGTGCCAATGCGACTGCCTTCCGTTCTCCTGCGAGCATCTCCATTGGATCGGTGATGTTCTCCGGTATAGGTGGCGGCTCGATGGTCTGCACGACGGCTTGTGTCTCGATGCTGTGAATTTGAAGGGTCTGGTCGGGCATCAGAGCCGCGACGTGAGGATAGTCCACGGCTACAACATGTGAGTTTGAGTTCCCGTATGCGAATACGTGCAAGACGTACATATCGATAGCGGATGTTTGGGAAACTCGAGCGTGCCGCGAACAGGATCGCCTTCGCCTGTGACAAAGATGCCCATGGTGCTGGCACCAGTCCACGACAGGATTAAAAACTCGGTCGGTGATACAACACCAATCATCGGACGAATGCGCGGCCCAGGCGCCTGGCTGATGGGCATGAGAGGCGTAAAGAGACCGGCGGCAAGGTTGACTACGCCATAAGTCTCTCGGTTGGCCATACAAAGGTAAGGTCCCGAGCGACGTGCCACAAAGGCGCCATCGGGAAGTGGGACTTCCTAATGACCGTTAGCGGATGCATGCGGTATCGAGATGGAAGTGCGTTACCCCATGGTAGCTTAGTCTGTCCAAGAGACTATACATAGCGATTGTATTCCGCTTGATGATACAGAAATCGACTGGTTCAACTGGTATGGGTGAATCGGAGGGTGGTGGCGCGGGCCGCGTAATGTGCTGGTGGTCGACCGCCAAAGCAACGACATTCCGTATGGGCTTGATCACGGTCGAGGGGATGAGGTCGAGCGAAGGTAGCGTGTAGAAGTATACTTGGCGGTCTAGTGTACGGTGAGTAGTATGACCGCAGCGATGATATTGACGCGTACCAGAGTATATCATGGCTCGAGATATACTGGGCAAGAGCACAATCTCGTCGACAGGCTTGTCTGCGGGAAGGCTTTGACGCGAGTACAGGCTGTAAGCGTCGGGCTGGCTAGATCAGCAATAATTTACACTATTCACAGTGGTAAACTTACCTTTCCAGGCCCAGAATGTTGCAATACAAAGCGTAGTATCTCCCCGTTCGAGCACCCGGCAATGATCTCGGACCCTGCGATTGTTCATTCTTTGACTTGGAGTGTGAGTACCAGGGACGTACCTAATGCCTGGGCACATTTTACTTCGACCGTGGGGACGCCGTCCATACTGTTGTAACCTCTCAAGCACAAATGAGCGGGAGTGTCCGTACGAGGGCAACTTCGGTATACCATAAGTCTCGACCACCTTCTCCAGCAGAGACTGGACTTGGTACGGTGGAATGTCTACTGGTGGCGGTGGCGTAGACGTCATTATGTTGTTCCAGAGATAGCAGGTAGTCCAGTCTGACACCGGCAAAGAGGAACGGAGCTGCGTTCAGCAGATGATGGCTGTATTCGGTGAGCGCTTGAGAACCGCGACGCGCGCGAACTCGCGCTCGCCTTGGCTCCCACCGCCATGTCCCTGCATGGCATTGTGACCTTCTATCAAGTTGGGCTCTACGCCCTGCCTTATCTACGCGTCATATATCGTGTCATACGTACACGCTATACAGCTGAAGCACTGTGAAGCTCGGCTCAGCACATAAATGTGAATGGTCCAATCAACGTCCCTCCCTTCGAGCGACCAAGCACCTGTGTCCATTCCGACGCTGCCATCATGAACCACGACATCTTCGGCCATAGCTAAAGCGACTCCAAAAGTCGGTCACTGCATACAATCTCTAGAGCATTTCCCCGCTCCAGACCAGGAGGATCATCACAAGGGCACTGCTATCAAGCTTTGCGAGTCTCATAGTGACTCGCAGAGACGTTTTACTTGACACGTCTGTCGCGCATCCGTGTAAGTTGGGGTTGGTCGGACCTTCACCGTAGCGAAGTACGACTCACGCAAATGGAATCCTGGTGCAGCGTGGACCGCGAGGGTGGCGCAGCTGCTTTCACATGCCTGGCTCGGGAGATGTATAGAAGTTGTGCCAGACTTTCCGGAGGCTGCGTCGAGGCAGGGCGAGGCAACGGGAGTCGCCGTGATTGTGATTCCTGCTTTGTACCAACCACCAGCTAGTAGTATTTGTGCATAGATATCTGACGAGCTACTGTTACACGCACACTGGAGCATCATTCTTGCCTGTTCTTGCACCAACGCTGCGACGCGCAGTTCCGAGTTCGGCGTCCGCGATGCCCTGGACGTGCCGAAGATTAGATCTTAGATCCGCCCTCTCGAAATTTAGAGTTATGAGGCGGTTGATCTTGCGCATAATCACATGCGAACAGCCACATGCGCGTATAAAGTACTTTGAAAGAATTCAACTGTTCGCCAACGCTCAACTTACTCTCAGCCGCCATGTCGACTGACACTCAGACCTCCCCGCAACCCGCCCACCAGCTCACCATCCTGGGCCGCGTTACGTCCATCCCGCTCGTCCACGACTCGCTTGGCTATCTCGACTCTACGCTCTCGGCCAATTCGTACTTGCGCACACCCTACGCAACCGCGCAGGCTATCACATCTTCTGCCTTGCAGTACTCAGAGCCTATCACGACTCGTCTTGCTCCGCTGATCACGCGTGCCGATGGCCTCGCGAACCAAGGTCTTGACGCCGTCGAGAGCCGCTATCCCTACCCTTTCAAGACGCCGACCGAGCAGATTAGCACCGACCTCAAGGAGCGAACCGACTACGCTCGTGATGTCGCCAACAAGACGATCGATGAGCGTGTCCGTGCCCCCGTGTACACCGTAGTGAATGGCGTCGACCAGGTACGTCACGACATGCCTTATCGCGGAGGCAACTTGACTGAATGCGGCAATATTCCTTAGCGTCTCACGCCCCTTGTCGATTACCTTGCTTCGACTCTCGCGCGTCTGAATGCGCAGGTTGGCCATGCTGAAGCGAATGCTTCGGCCAAGGCTTCTTCTGCCGAGGACTCAGCGAAGTTCCAGTACCAGCGCGCGCTCGACCTCACCAAGGACATCCGCAGCCAGCTTTTCGTTTACTCGCAGGAGCAGCTCAAGCAGCTTCAGGCTCAATCCGTCCTCATGTATGTGCCTGTGTCTGCTAGGCTTTCCAATCACAGTCTGATGGCCACTTTGTACAGCCAACGTGCATCCGCAACCGCCAACGATATCACCGCGCTCGCTTCGTCCTCTTTCGACTCCGCTCAGAAGCGCGTGCACGGGCTGAGTGAGTCGATGGTACAACAGCTGCACCAGGTTCAGGGCTCGATGGCCGCTCTCCCCGGTCAGGCGCAGGCTCAATTCGAACCTGTGCAGCAGCACATCGCCGGCACGATCCACGACCTCAGTGAGATCCTGAAGACTGACGCGCCACTCAACGACAAGGTCGCCCGCGTCTCTTCCACCGTCCGCGAGAGCGTCACGCCCGTGCTCGACGCCGCCGCCGATGCAATCCGCGCCGTCATCCAGCGCGCAGAGGCCACGACTCAGCACGCTGCGCAGACCGCGCAAAATGGCTCGGCAAACGGAGCCGCGCATTGATATGCTCTTCCCCAGTCCTGATTTCACGACTTGATATAGACTTGCATAGATTCCCTCATAGACATTTCTCTCTTCTTTGGCTGGGCTCGGATTGTATGATGTAGTTCCTCACCGATCCCGATCCCTTGAACATATCCCCGCTCTCGTTACGATACCGATACCGATGTAGTACCACGATATGCACTACCTCTTGGATGACTACCACGCTTTTTGGCTTCGAGAGGTTGAACAGGCTTGACGTGTGCAGATAGTATAGCACTCGATTGGATAACTTCTACAGCATGTATCTGAACCCCGGCTTCGCCGCACCATTCTCCGACTCCTCTTCCTGAGCTCGCTCATTCTCCCGCGTTAGATGAGCGCGAAGAAACCATAGCGCCACAATAGTCGCTCCCTGACAAACAATGCAGATTGCATAAGAGTGGCGGTAGGATGGGCCCCACGCCTTCGGCCAGATGTACCTGTATCATCGTGAGGCTGACTATGAGATTGAGAGCGAGGGACTCACGAGCCAGCAACGTTCCCAAGCTGCGAAACGGCGTTGATGAGCGCGATGGCCACGGCACGTTTTGCAGGTGGATGAGCAAAGATACTGCTGACCCAGGCCATATAACACACAAGTCCGGCATACGACTGAGCCATAAAGAACCTATGATTGAGCGAGAGCGGGTAAGCATCTGTGGTCGCAACTCAGGAGATAGATAGCGATACTGACAAGGAGACATAACGCGCAGCAGTGTTCAGAGTCGATGCCGCGATAACATATCCCAGAATGCCAAAAGCCAGAGAGCATGTGAGATGCCAATAACGCTCGCCTACTTCATCGGAGTGCCTGAATAGGGATCAGAGTTTGTAGAGCGCAAGACATTGTCAACTTGTTGACTTACTTATTCAGAAAGAATGCGACGACCGCAGCGAACAAGAACGGCGGAGCACACAGCAGAAGGCTGACCGTAGTCCCATAACCGAGCGTTTCAGCGAGGGTAGGAAAGAATGCGTTGAAGGACAGCGCAATCACAAAGCTTGCAAGAGTTACGGCCAGGTGCCAGACCTTCCAATCGCGTATTGCCAACCAGAAGCCGTGTCCCGTTTCGTTGTCCTCAGCTGCGCTCAGAGCCGACGATCTGAGGAGTCCCGTGTCCTCCTGCATACGTTGAATAGCTAAGGCGCGCTCCTCTGAAGTGAGATGGCGGTCGGTCTCGGGGAACTCGGGGAGGATGAACATAGCGATGATTGCCACTACGATGGTGGCCCCACCCTCTGACAGAAGCTGGAGTCAGATCCCGGCAGTCATTAGAGATAGCTGGTACTTACCAATGTAGAACAGCCACCGCCACGCGGCGCGGCCCATCGCGCCTGTCATGCCCTTCAGTATGCCGCTTGCCAGTAGGGCTCCGAACGCGTTGCTGCTGATGCTCCCGCAATAGAAGAAAGCCATGCGCACGCCAATCTCGGAGCGGGTATACCATTTACTAAGAAGGAAGATAGCACCAGGAAAGAAGCTCGCCTCCACAAAACCTAAGCTTATCTTCAACGTCAGCCCCGAGCCCTGATAGAATGAATTACGCCGACGAACAAGAAGCGGATGATGAGTGCACCAGTGAAGCTACAGGTGAAGGGCAGCGGGCGATCAATCAGTGTATGTACTCGTGGTGATTCGAAGAACGCTTACTTAGTAGCAAACCCTAGGCATCTAATCAGTATACAGTTCGTGGCTATGAAGCGGGTAAGAGAGGACCTGTGAGCACGGACAGCACCCCCCAGATGGCCATGCAAGTTGGCAAGTATAACGAAGGACGACCCATCCAATTCAGTAACATGTTTCTGAAAAACGCTTGAACGACCCCTGCTCTAGAATGCTGTAGAACACCCACGATGGAACCTGCATCAGTATATAGCCGACATATAGTATGGAGAGTAGAGTATCGAACTGTCGGCCTTGAAGGTGTAAGTCCTCCTCAAAGCCCTGGAGCCTGGCCGCAGACGCGTTGTTGCGATCTATCTGTCAGATATCATCAATTCAACTGTCTGTGATTGGTAGACTATCTCAGCTTTCACGCACGTAGTTCAGTATATATATGAGCACAAGGATGGACATTCGCAGGTCGAGCTTGCGAACGAGTTTCCGCTCCAGCGCACTGCGAGACACGCGGGCCGCTTCAAGCTCCAGTACATCTTCAAGTTGCGTTTCTCCGGGTTCACCGGGGAGGCCAAGCAAAGGTTCGTCGTCAAGACTCTTTCGCAGGAGAGGGAGTGCCTCAGCAGACATCAGGGTGCGGTCACAGTTGAACGCGTTGCCGAGGCTGCTGTACAAAGCAACTGTAGCAGTGAAAAGAACTAGCGATGCGCCTTGCAGAGCTTTGTTCTAGGGTTCTCCAAGATGAGTGTTGAGAGATAGCTGCGATAGGTCTAGTAGACGCGGCAGCGCCGCGTATCCGCGCCGACACCCGCGCCGCTGGCACGTGCGCCCTGACGCTCACGAAGAAAACGCTGGGTATTCCTGGGATAGTCTCGGGTGCTTGAGCTGAGTCCATCATAGAAAATGCATCCTCATTCAGCGTAGTGATGGTAGAGGTTGAAGGAAGTCGAGAAACGGTCTGCAGATTGCCTTTTGTACCCGTGGGAATGATTACGCAATGCGACTCGCGCTTTTGATCTGGCTTTTTCGCTTTTGCTCAAACCACGACGGCAGATCCGAAGCCGCGAGGCTCGCCACACACAAGAAGCTCACGCTTCCAAACTCGCGAGCGGGCTAAGGTCTGAGCCAATGCTCCCCCGATCGGCTCTAGCAGAGCCCGACCCCAACGGGTCGAGCGGCACACCAGAGACGCCGTTGACGTAGCTCATACCCGGAGATTCCGCCAATCGCAGTTGCGCAAGCTTTGCTATGGTCCGGAGGAGGGTGCTGCGCCGACGGTTGAGAAGTGCCGCGGAGCTTGGGCGGCACGCTGCTTCTTGGGCGACCCTCGTCCTCGGGTGTGCTCTCCGAGTACATCCGCTCGATCACCTCCTACCGCTCCCCTGAGCGGGCGCAGCTTTAGGGCAGGCTGCGTGGCCTACACATACGCGACAGGACAGGGTATCAGGCTGGTACTCGCTTTAGGCACCTGGAAGGGCGTTCGGAATCCCGAGGTGGTCGGCGTCGCTTCATGTGAAAAGGGTGCTCTTCGCTATGGGTGTGCATGTCCGACGAATGGAGCCGGCCGCGCTCGAATCGCAACAGGATATCGCGTGGAGTCTGGCCTTGAATATGGCATTCTCTGGATCTGTTATGGCCGGCGTTGGAGGTCGTTGAAAGCACGTCTTCACCTTGCACACCTCGTCAGTTCTGTCGTGTCTCGTCAAGTTGTATCGACCGGCACGGCCCTGTTTCCTGTTGATGGCCGACGACGGCCTCGGATAGACCGCCATCCGGCTCAAACCGGCTGGGAGCTCTAGGTCACCTCGCAGGTTGCGGTCATCGTGTAGGTCGAGGGGCAAGAAGAGCGACGAGGCCCTCGTTTAGGAGCCGTATGCGCGCGGTCCTTGAGTGCAATTCGCGGCTCGTCCTTCTTCGCGAAGGACGAAACTCGATTCAGACTACTCCGGGTCTGCCGTCCCAATTTTTCAAACTCTACCTCTTCGTGAGGTTCTGACTGGAGATCCGTGTAGTTGAATGTATGTATTTACATTGAAATGTCTTGCGAAGACGGTGCCCTTCTTACTCGGCAGCCCAGTCGACGTCAGGGCTGTCAATCCTAGTACGCCTCGGCATAAAACGTATGCACATGAGGGGTCCGCCGGCTTCGAGCAGTCGTTTCTGACACGCGCGCATCGATAACCCTTCGGCACCATCAACTACATCCGATATGATAATCTCTCGCCTCCACCCTCTTGCCCTCGAAAACGCGCTAGCCGCACCGCAACGGCAAGGAGCTGAGCTTTATTATGGCACATCCCTGAACTTATTGGTTGCTCGCTAACCCCCATCTTCGGCACCCACTGAGCGCTTCATCCATCGTTATCCCCGTCGGTACAAGAGTCACGTTCAATTATCGGACATGCCCTCTACAGCTTCTTTTGATGGCCGCTCTTCTATCGATGTACGTACTGCGTCGCTCGAACACCTTCTCTTCACTGACCGCTGAGCAGAGTGGCGCGCATCTGTTTGAAGACGTGGAGTTGGCCTCCCTGATTGAGAACTTGACGTTGCGAACGAAAACACCGACTCGGGTATGTACTCCTATGATCTCACCTGGTTCCTGTGCTCAATGGTTGCTCGAGTCAGGAAAGCGCTCAGAGCGACTTCGCGCACGTCTCGGACGTAGCCATGTCAGACGAGGAACCCTATCTGGTACGTCGTTGTTTGGCTCTATGACGAGGCCTTCACTTATCTCGGATCACGGCTTTCAGTCAGACGCTTCGGGCTCCTCAACTTCGTCCGCCGGGAAGCCCTCAAAGGCTCCCATGCAGCCGGAGCCCTGCGCTCTTCTACAAAACATCATTGGACTATACGATCCTGCGGAAGAGCTCAAAAACTTTCCCACAACATGCGGCCAGTACCTCGAGCTTCTTTTCACGCACCGTGAACTGTTCTCGGCTTGTCCCCACGCGCATACGGGTTGCTCGGCCGGTCTGGCGCAACTCGCGCGGTCGCTGGAGCTTAGAGCTTGGCGCGCTGATAGGGAGTGCGATTCTGAAGCGGTAGCTGCTTTCCGTCACGAGAGTTGGCAAGTTGCCGCTTGGCTTCAAACAGGGGGTATGTGGTGGGCGAAGTCCAGTGATGTATGATGCCTGTAAAGTTCAAGGTAGCTCCTCTGTCCGTCTTGTGAGCCAATGGGGTCGATACAGGATATCCTCCCTAGGCGTGTACCCAGTATACTATTGCATCTATCTCATTGTGTTTCCGCGACGCCAAATTGTGGATCGTGACGATGATATATCTCAAAAGGATGAGACAATCCAGTGACTGAAGCTTGCTCCTTACAACATATCAAACGCCTTGTGAGTCGTTAGCTCGTGGACCTATGGCACGCATACATCCATGGTACGCTAAGTCTAAGGTACTGTGACGAGCAGTCTGAGAACGACCGGTGTTCTAGCGCATAGTCCCACGAGGCTCTTCCGGATTAGGTGTTTTCCTACCTCTGGCCTGGCGAACGAGACAGGTAGCTAGGCGCCAATCTACAATCCGTGCTTAGGCGTCAATATTTGAGCACCATCTGAGCTAGCTATAGTCCCTTCAAGTGCAATGGGTGCCTCACCGACATCAAGTGGGACGCACCAGTCATGCATATGAATGCTGGCCACACGCATCAGCATAGGACGTCTGCACAAGCATAGAGGTCACCGAAGTGTCGCGAGATCGGCAAGCGATGTTAAGGCATGTTACATGGGAGCGATGGTAGGCAGGAATAGACCCAGTTACGGCCCTCGGTAAGCCTCGTACCCTATTTCGGCTATGAATAACCGGGCCTCGACTACCTCGTAACGCGAGGTGCAGAGAGCAGGGGATTCATAGGAATAGGGAACGAGGAGTACTGGCGGCTGCGTAGCTAATGGATAAGAGGGATACGAATTCAGATCACACTGTCTCTATCTATGCTCGGCTACCTTGCTTTTATACTGCTGACCAGTACAGGGGCCTTTGCAACAGTTTCAGGTCTTTTGACGCTTTTCTCGGCACCGGTCTGTTTTCGTGACCACAACTTTGCACCGAGTGGCAGCGACCACGAGCGAGCGCAGTCACAACTTATCGATGCCGCACTGCGTGGTGCGGATCACCCATATAGTCCATTCTTCAGGCTTTGAGGCCGAAGGGCGACCTTAGTGTCCTTGTGGATTCTTAACGCGCGTTCCTGTTATGCGACCATGATTGCGGTTTAAACTTCCTCCATCAGGCATCGCGCTCATGAACATGCGACGATCAGCGCAGCACATTATACTTTTGCTTCAAGCTAGTATGGGCTAGTGCGAGGACACTATGGTATCGTCGGTCTTTCTTGTGCTATAAGTGGGCGATGACATCTCAAGGGCATCTCAGTAACATCTACGATGTCATATACCGGGCGTAACAGCGAGTAGGCGCTGAGCATTACCCATCTCAGCAGGTCAAACGACAGAGTCTTACTTGGGTTTGGAGATATACGGCGCCATCGGATTGAAGGCCGGAAGCGCACGAGCCCCGACGACGAGAGCGTGATCTTCGTTCTCGATCCGCGTAGCCGAAAGGAACGAGTGGAAATACCAGAGATGGCTTGAAGGGTCCAACATGGCGTGGGCCCAGATAGCCAGATCATATGCATGTACAGGCCGCCGAGCATGGTGGCAGTAATCGATAAAAGGGGATAACGCAGTGTCTATACAGCTTGTTTGAATGAAATCCGCGGATGGCCATCGTCTCAAGGATGGATCATGAACCAGGAAAGCCGTGCATGGCCGCATGGCCGTATATGAAGACTCAGAGTTTCGCCTTCAACTCCCTGAGGCGTGCATGCTGCATACTCTCATCTGTACACAACGTTATGAGAGGATTATCTTGGCTGGATATTGTGCGAGGAGCTTACAGTTGTTGTCGTAAAGACGATCCCCTGGAACTGCGACGGTATGGGCCCGGATCCCAGAGGCATCTACCATGTCCGGTACAACGTCCGCGATGCTCTTGGCCCCAAGCAAGCGCATGTTCATCTCAAACTCGTCCTGTGCAAAGTTCAGTACACAGGATTGTGGGGTATCAGAAGAAGACTGACCTGAAGAATCTGGAGGGCATGTTCTACACCTTCCTGGCCGTACGCGGAATAAGCGTAGATGAAGGGTCGGCCGATACCAACTGTAAGATAGCAGCTCAGTTCGGGAGTTCATTAATCTTCAAGACCACGTACCCGCAGTGGCACCGAGAGCCACGGCCTTGAGGACATCGGTGGCGCGCCTCACGCCACCATCGATGAACAATTGGAATCTCGGGTTGGGGAATGTCATGCCACGCTTCTCATTGAATTTTTGCACGACCTCGACCAGCACCTCGAGTCCCGACCGTGCGAAATCAAGTTGCCTTCCACCGTGATTGGACAGAACAACACCCGCGAGCCCCTGATCATATGCCTCTAGAGCATCCTGTCGGAACAACCGATAAAAGACAAAGAATATCCGATAGCAAAAAGACGCTTTACCTCCCAACATTGAACACCCTTGAGAATGAGCGGCACTAGAAGGTACGTATACGTTAGAGGGCGGCAATATTGGGCGCAAAGCTCGGCGCACTGTTGGTGATGCTCTTGAACCAAGGGATATCTTTCCAACTCAGTCCGGGATCTGCGACCGCGGATCAGCAACGAATCGGCAACGAACCTGTCAATGCTATGTGGGACTGACCGATAAAGCCCTACAAAACGATGATTACGCCGCCTAGTCAGCAATGGTTAACAGTAGTAGGTGCTGGACCTACTGTGATAGCCTTTGCGGCGCCTTGGCTCCTACAATCGTGCATGAATAGGAGGTTCTTACCAGATGGATCGCACGTAATATAGACGCACCTATTGACTTCCCCGCCGGACTTTTTCACTGCGTCGGGATCCTCGTCCGCATCGAACTTCATTCTCATGTCCTATTCAGCGGAGAGAGAAACGAGTCAGCACCAGCGCTATAGAAGACCGATTTCAGCCCGAGGAGGCCGCACCTTCTCCCGGCGTCCAAGCTGTGGAGCATCGACAGTGATAAACAGGGCCTTGATACCCCGCTTTTCGGCATGCTGAACGATGCGCTTGGTAATCTCGCGATCCTTGTTGACATAGAGCTGGAAGAATTGGGTTTGATCAGGCTGAGCCGCATCGATGAGTTCGTCGAGAGAGCACGAGGCGAGCGTCGGTATCTGCCAGGGGGATGAGCAACGCCTAATCTGAAAACCGACAAGTAGGTTCCAACCATCTGGATCACGCCATGCTTAGCCGCTGCGCGCGTCAAGTTCAGCTCGCCTTCTGGGTGGCCCAGTTTACCCAACGCGGTCGCAGACTTCGAACGAGTAAGCGCGATCAATTCGGACTGCAACGCCAGAAGAACCTGTGAGACGCACGATGTAAACCGGCATGGATGTCCGGTGCCCAAGGATATTGGTAGACCATGACACGTTAGTCACATCGCGCAAGACGCGTGGTCTGAACCATACTCTAGATAAAGATTAGTATCCTTGTTCACCTCAAACCTCAAAACAAGCGGTGATACCGATGGTATGCCGAATGGTTCTCCCTGTTGGTTATCTCGTCGTCCGCTGCCGAAGAGTAGTAGGCCCATGCCTTCTCCGGCATAACCTGACGCGCGATTGCCTAAGACGTAGACTCGATCAGCCGCTACTTCCCGGAACAGAGATGGAGGTGCCTACCTCAAGGTCATGCAGGTTTAGAACCTGATCAAGCGACGGGCGGTTTTCCATTCGTTCCAGGCGAGCTTTCTCTGCGTCTGTAATCTGAACCTCGACCTTCTCCACTGTACCCATGTCCACAGCGCCGAGGCTGGAGCCGTCAATACAGGTCTTGTGAGGCGCAAGCGCAGTCGTACCATTTCTCAGGAGGTAGGTTATCACTAATGGCGTTCGGGGGATGTATGGGCTCGTATTCTGCCGTAGCATCCTTTCCAGCATACTTTAGGATGATCTTGGAGCCACCTGCGTAGGTTGTGAGTACTCGGCGGCCATGTCTAGCCGTATGCACGCTATAGCACGTACCGGGGTGCTCATCCAGAAATTCTGTCACGTCGTATACCTTGCCTAGTGTGCAGGGTCAGCCAGCTCTCCATGACGCGCGTGTTTAGTCGCGCGCACCATGCACTATGATCCAACAGCTCTCGCGCGAGTTGTGCGTTGCGACTTCCTTGCCAGATAGCGAGCTCATGGCGGTTTCGTTCGTCACGATAGCGAGTGACCCTCGGGCGCCTTATAGCAATGTGGTCGTGGGTGCTGTGAAGAAACAGCTGGAGTGGATGCTGGAATCGCGGACCCCCGCCCTCAGCCTCCGCTCGGATTGTCGGTGCGGGGCAGGCCAATAGGAAGCTCTCGGCCCGTCACCTGTAAGCGCGGCCCGACCGGCTCTTTGATGCGGCTCATCCGATATGGGTCCACGTGAGCGCGAGTTGAATGCCTGGACCGCCACAAGTCGGTCAGTCGTGTACTCTCTCGGTTGACGAAATCCCTCACTTCTCCGCGAACATGCCGTGGGTATCAGCGTGTACCGGCTGGAAGTAGTAGCGGTAACCCATCCGAGTACACTACTGGTACACAGGACATATAACAGGCGTCTACCGCTTAAACTCTGAACGCGTCTCTTGGCGTAAGCGATACGTTCCTGATGACGTCGATGACTACTTGTCGCAATACCTATAGATAGTAGGACAGCTACCAGAGTTCCATTGAAGGTGGGATTGTACACTATTTATACAGCGCATTACGTGGGTTAAGCAGTTGTAATCACAATCGTACTTTTCCGACATCGAATATTCACTCATCGAAGCTTCACTGAGGCCAATCCTTGACACGCGTCGTAGACGGGCAACCCTGGCTGGGCGGCGATGAGAACTGCGTCTCCACGAACACCTTCTCAACACCGGCCTTGCGGGCGTCGAAGGCACGGTACAGGTCGGCAAAGTCGTCGATAGGTACGCGATGCGTGATCATGAATGTCGGGTCGAACTTCTTCGTGCGAATGTAATCGTTCAAGATCTCCTCCCAGTACAGATGTACCGGTGCTTGACCGTTGCCGATGAGGCGTACGCCAGCCTCCATGAGCGCGCCAACGTTGACCGCGTTCGCATAGCCGGCACTGCAACATCCCATCAGTGCCGTCGCTGAGAATGAAGCGAGGGGATGCTCACTAGGCGGCGATGATCCCAACGCGACCCATCTTCCTGACTGACATGATACACTCGTTGATAGTTTCCGGTACATCCGTCTCAAGCATGGTCGCTTTCATCGCTTTGTGCAGTAGCGTCTTCGGCTCGTGGAATGTACCGCAGTCGAGCGCGACATCGAGACCACCAGGCGCATACTCTTCGTGCATGAACTTGACAATGTCGATGTTCTTTCCAGACGGTGTCCTCCCGTCCGCGCCTTTACCGGTGAAATCAAGGACATCCGCTCCGCACTTTTGAGCCATATCGAGACGCTCCTTGACCTGGTCAATGACGATCACACGCTTAGCACCCTTGAGGAATGCCCAGCGTGCGGCGCATTGACCAATCGGCCCAGCACCCCAGATGCCAACGACGTCTCCCTCCTGAACGCCCGTGTCGACGACCGAGTGATATGATGTCGGAAGAACGTCGCTCAGGTAGATAACTTGCTCGTCCGATACGTCGTCCGGGATCGGTAGCAAGTTTACGTTGCCGTAAGGTACGCGAACGTACTCTGCTTGACCGCCAGGGAAGCCGCCCGTGAAGTGCGAGTAGCCGAAGAATCCGGCATCGCGCTTTCCGTACATTGCGTTCTGCAGTCTATGAATAACGTGTGAGTTGCCATGCACGTCTGTTAGACGTCAAAATCACTCACGAAGAGTTGTTGGTGTTGTCACAGAACGATGAGAGCTTCTTCTGGCAGTATCGACATTTGCCACATGCGATCTGGAAGCTGGCTACAACACGTTGTCCTGGCTTGAGGTTTGTGACGCTAGGCCCGACCCGATCTACGACGCCCATGAATTCATGTCCGAGAATGTCGCCCGCTTGCATTGTCACGATCTCGGAATGGTAGAGGTGCAGATCACTACCGCAGATGGTCGTGCCAGTTACTTTGACGATAACGTCGTCATCCTACAGTGACAGTTAGTGAGTGGCACTTTGCGCGACGAGGAAGGCGACTTGCTTGTGTGATGTCCGGAACGGGCGCTTCGATGACGCGTACGTCCTCCTTCCCAAACCAAGCTAGTGCCTTCATCTTCGAGCCATCCCCACGTCCCTTGTATTCGGACTTCACCTCCGTCTCGACGAGACCCATACGCTGTGGCACGACTTTAGCGCAGTCACTCACATGCATTGCGCAGTTGACATACGTTCTGAAGTGCATTTGCGGCGGCTTGCATGTTCGAGGCTGTTGTATGTGTGAAGCTGAAGGCAGATAGAAGAAGGTTATTGCACCTCCAGAAGAGGACTTGGTTTTGTACTTGGACGCCGAGCGGAGAATCAGCCCTGACGTCACGCGTTGAGATGTTCAGCCGCACCCGACGCGGCGAGTGTGGCTCTCAAGCGGCGCGTTCTAGTGGGCCGCGAGCCCATGACCGTCTGGCATACGTAGGCGATGACTTCGTACGCGGGGTATGAATCGAGGATGGCCGGACAGGTCGGGAATTCAACCCAACCGGGTATGTAGGGCCAGGAAGGAACTTCGAATGCGTCATCACTCAACGCACATAGACCCTCCCGTAGATCTATACTGTAGCAGGCGGGAAGCACTGGACGTATCTTACCACCGATGTGTCAGACTGTCGAGGTCGAGCCAAGCGAAACTTGAGCGCTTGGGCTTGGGAATGACGATGGGAATCGGTTGCATGCAACCCGTCACCAAGTACATGTTGACAGGATGTCCGCCTAACGGCGTCAATGATGGAAAGCCACATAAAGCTGCCAATCGCTTGCCCGAATATCGCCTCCACGCTGTCGGAGAAAGTAGGAGATGCCGGGAAGAGTCGCAAGGTCAGAAACGCGTCGAATTTCCTTTTCTAGTTATTCGCGCTCATCCAGTCCACCAATGATCATCCGACCTGCTTCTCGCGCGCAAAGACGGGCGTTCACGGAGATAGTCGCATTTCAGTATACCCCCACACAAAACACCGACTTCTCCCGCTTGGACAGTTGGTAACTTGTGCACGTTGTGCCGCCCTGGTACCCCAGATAACTTAATTTCCATCTTACATCATGCATGCAACGGTACATCTTCTGAGCGCATCCGCTGTCACGAGAAGGATTCCAACATCAATTGCTTGAGGCGCACAGATCAGATGCACGATGGTCTGTCGTTGGGGATATGGTACAGATGAAGCTGACACAACAATGGCATTTGCTCTGTCAGTGCTGCATGGGAACCGGCTCTTTGCCGGTTTTTGCCAATTCGCTCCTGGAATACCGTAAACCAAAGATGTATCAGAAGGGACGGTAGAGACGCACCTGAGTTGGGCGCTGAACTCTTCCTCTACATCATCATCGTCCCAATTATCCTCCCACAACTTATCGCCTTGCGACTTGGCGCCGCCCGGCGCAGCGCCCCCTAAGTGTGCAAGTGCGGTTTCGGAATCGTCCCAGTCTGACGCAGCAAAGTCAGTAGGTCAGGTCGGGCTTACCACACCCACCACGCGTTGATCGACGTACCTTGTACCGCAAATTCCTCGAATTCATCGTCTTCCTCGAGTACTCCAAGATGAGGCTGGGCATCCTCCTTCTTTGGCTCTGGCTTTGCCGCTTCTGTAACGGGCTTGGATGTGGAGGCAGCGGATGACATGGTGGTGGTAAGTTCAAGAACTGATCTACGCGTTCGCGACGCGTCAGGACGCGCGTCTGATGCTTCGCGGCAACGCCCGGTGCCACGCCTTGTCCGATAGCTGCCTGTCTGTCTTCGAACTCTACCTTGTGCTGTAAGCCTGCCGACATTTCGCGATGCGTACCGCGCCCCGCCTCGGGCGCCCCTCTAACATGGAGCCGTAAACCTACGACTTTCTGTTACTGCGCCTGTTGTCAGTTCGCGATCGCAGGCAAGTCGAAAGCGCCGGCCAGCTGCCTGGTTTTTCAACGTTTTGACGGGGTTTCAGAGCCTCATATACCGCTCGGTCAATCTTTTCTCCTTAGCTTCCAACTCCCAGCTGGTTGTTCAGGATCCTCCTAGACGGACTGTGTATCCTAGACTTTCTCGTGCTTGCCTCTACTACTACAGCTAGACGCCTTTCGCCGCCACCGCCGCCGCCGTCATGACTCGCACTCGCACCCGTACCCTCACTGTCTCTGAGCCGCCGACATACATTATCAACATCCGCGCACCTCAGCCCAATCTCGATACCCTCCCGACAGAAATTTTGCTGCAGATATTGCGCTATGCAGTCCCGCAACCTCGAGCACACCGGTCAAAGGTCGACGTGCAATCTCTGGCACTTGTCAACAAAGCCATCACAGCTGCACACACCACGTTGCTGTACCGCACCGTGGTGATCAACTCGCACCGCGCCCTCGCACTGCTGGCACGCACGGCAGCAAAGAACCCTCGCCTGCTTGCCACGCATGTTCGGGCGTTTACGCTTTCGGTAGACGGCCCGGTCAGCCAGGAGATGCTCAGCGTGGTCCTCCGCATGTGCAGTGGCCTGCACACCCTCGTCTTGCCTGGCAACGCGCTGCAAGGCCTTCGCGTGCCGCGAAACGTCGTGCCCTTGCCCTACCCTGCGCCCAAGCACGTTACCCTATCCGAGTGGTCGTCCCCCCATCTGTGGCACGTCGCGCCGGCGCCCGAGTCGACACATATTCCGACCGAACTTCTTGCCGAAGTTACCCATCTGGCCATCGCAGGACCGCCCGCCGCTATGTGGGTGCGCCCAATGGAGATCTTGCGCACGCTTGGCAACCCCAAGGCGCTCACTCATGTGTTGTTCGCGAGGCGAACGGGAGGAAACGAGACAAACGATGCGGAGTTTGCTGAGGATTGCCTGGCGCTCCGAGCGCGCGTCCGCTCCGTTGCCGCTAGCATGTGCTCTCCGATTCTATCCGGGATGTCCTCGGACTCTCAGGAGCTTCGTGACGCACTAGCCGATGCGGGCGTCCTTGTGCGGGAAGGCGACGCGAATGAGTGGCGCGCGCCATGGTTGACGCTCGACGTCGGTGTGCACGCGACTTCGCTCGAGGAGCGATATTGGGCACACCAATAGATTCCCTACCGCCCTTCTGGCATGGACTGGATTCAAAGCGTGGGCCCCACCGCACATCCGAGAGTTCTGTTCATGCATGGTGTCATCTTTGACTCGGTTTGTATCATTGTTTGTAGATCCCCATTAGACGCCCTTGGACTTTTAGAGGCTGTCGTTCTCGCGGCCGCCCCGGCGGTAGATCCCCCCATCCCTGTGCATAGATATTGCTGTTGTTGTGCTTATGGTCCCGTATCGCTTGTAATTCCCACTCTTGTCGTCACTGTTTTGCTCGCCATAATAATCACTCTTGACGATTTTAGATCTCCATGTCAATGCTTTGCGCGATTTTTAGTCTAATCTCTCTGATACTTATATCGCGACGGTGAGATCGGTCGGATAAACATCGCAGTCAACTGTGTCGTTGGATATAAGGGCGATCCATCTTTTTCGCTTCTGACTGCGACGGGGATGTTGGAAGACCAGCCGTAACCGTCGAGCGTAACCCGCGCAACGACCCAAGGAGGACCGGGGCGGCTCATACGAATCATGTGGGTTTCGTGCGACCGCGCGGGTTTATGCCAGGCCCACTTTGGTGCCGGGCTTCACAGCTTGTGTGTGTAAGCCTTCGCAAACAGGCTGTGTCCAGACCGATGAAAGCTGCTGAGAGCAAAGGCGTCACGGAATGAAGTGCGATACATCTCACGTATGCGCGACGAAAGGGATGCTGGAAAAGGCACCGCGGACTCTGACGGAGATGTGGGACTCCCCTAGGCGTGGGAGAACTGATTAACTGCGTAGGCCGACGCTCGCTCACAAGTCCGGCCTACTTTTGCTTTCGTCTCTCATCTATACCACACCCATCCCGCGCCTAGGCTAGCCACCCCAACGCTTCTCGGTCTAGCCCCCGCCTCGCCCCCCGCCATGGCGTCCACAAGCTCAACACCCGACGCTCCGATAACCACCTCTGAGCAGAACTTCACCAATCCACCAAATTATACCTTCCCCCACCATCGTCTCGTACTGGACCAGCGCTATGAGGACCGAACACCCATTGTGCTCGTTGCCTGTGGCTCCTTCTCACCAGTCACCTATCTCCACCTACGCATGTTCGAGATGGCGAAGGATTATATTCGACAAAATACGGAATTCGAGGTCATGGGCGGCTATATGAGCCCTGTGTCGGACCAGTACAAGAAGCCTGGATTGCTCAGCGCAACGCATCGGTGAGTCCCTCGTGCTTCGGTTATGGCTATGAGATGCGCCGGGAGGATATATGTCTCAGACTTGGGCTGGTTGCTGTGGGTGGAGTCATGCTCGGTCGTTCCTCGAGACCGGCGTCTATGGCGACCGAAGTTTGGCAGCATCTCGTCATCCGTCCGCTTAGATGAATCGCCACCGTTCAAGCGCTTCTGAAAGCCGATGACAGCTTCTGCCATGTTCGGTGTTGAGCGCGGCGTGAACACTGCTATCTAGACCGTGATCTTCCCGATGGCGCTTCTTGATTGTGTTTCTGCCTGTCAAATCTTCCGGCATCATCCCACGACATCCTTACTGACCAATATCCATCTAGTGTCAACATGTGCACACTCGCCACCGAGCAGACCTCGAACTGGCTGATGGTGGATGCATGGGAGGCCGTGCAGACATACCAGCGCACGGCTGTCGTGCTCGATCACTTCGAGCATGAGATTAATGACAAGATCGGCGGCGTGCGTTCCCCCTCGGGCGAACAGCGCCGCGTCCGCGTTATCCTACTCGCCGGCTCAGACCTCATTGGTACTATGTCCCAACCAGGCGTGTGGTCCGAGCGCGATGTAAGATGCCCTGTCCATTCACCATCCCCGAACACCGCCCCCCTGACGCGCGTCTACGCAGCTCGATCACATTTTGGGGAAGTACGGCACATTCATCATCGAACGTGCAGGCTCGGACATGGACCAGGCAACCGAGGCGCTTGCGCGCTGGAGACACAACATCTTCTTCATACCCCAGCTCATCCAGAACGACGTCAGCAGCACCAAGGTCCGCCTGTTCCTCCGCCGCGGCCTGTCCGTGCGATACCTTTTGCCCGGTCCGGTGGTCGATTACATCGAAGAGAACCACCTCTACACCGACGAGGCAACAGCCGCTCAAACTGCAGACAAGGGCGACGGCAAGGACGGCGCCGGCCGCAGCGGTCGGAGAGGCAGCAGCACGTTGCACGCACCGCCGTCAGTCATCGCGAGCTCATGATGATGCGGTCTTCATTATGCACATACTATCGGATAGGAGAGGCGGCAGCAGCAGTGTCAGTGATCTACGCGCCAGAGAAGCGTCGGTCTTGTATTTGTATCTTCGAGAGACCATGTTCTGCTTTGGACTATTTGTCGGTGTACATTATCCCATCTCGGTCTATGGGCGAGCGATGCTGGGACTTGCTTTCATATAGATGCCCTTCATCGGGCCAGCATCCACATCCTGAACTGTGAAGACGTGGAACTGTCGCCACAGCGAAATTTTAACAAGAGGGCTAGAATGCTACTAGAGCTTGGAGAGGTACGAGCCCGCATCAGGCACCGTCGCGATAAGCGTGTGTAAGCTTGTGGGTGTCGACTTCTCCGTATTCTCAGTGACGTCGTTCCCTATCGCTAACACCCGTGTCGCCGCTACATACATCTACTCTCATACCCGGCGTCCATCTCAGTATGCTATAGGGTGGCCCGAACTCTATCACATCGAATGGGTTCTCTTCAGCGACCTCTTGGTCGACATCATCATTAAGACGGACCGTGAGCCCGACGGAAGAAGATTCTGCCCTTTGCTTCGGGCGATGGTCATTGCACCATCTTGCGTGCTCCCGCCGCGTTCATTGTCTGCTTTCTCGTAGCCGCATATCTCCTCTGTACCTGAGCTCTGCTCTAAGTTCTTAAAAACAAGATGGTCCGAGAGCTCAACTCTTTGCGCGTTCCGTTCCCTCCGTCCGGTTGTTTGAACGTTGAACCCACAAAAAGCTGCTGTCATGTCGACTGTCGACGAGAAGCGCTCCGTCACCCCCGAGTCCGTTGACGCGAAACACAATGCGCTTGCAGAGTATACGCCTGAAGAGGTCGCGAAGGCGTGGCGTAAAGTCGACCTGGTAATCATGCCAGTAGCGTCGCTGCTCTATCTCGCTTCCTACATCGACCGGTTCGCCGACTCTCTCTTACCTGCATTGGTTGTCTCTGACATCAGTTGTACAGCGCCAATATCGGAAATGCGAAGATTCTGGGCATGTACAAGGCGCTCGGACTTACAGACTATCAGTATAACCTCGCCTTGAGCATATTCTTCGTCGGATACGTCATCTTTGTACGTCCTTTCGTGTAGGGCTTCTCCTTCACTCGACTGACGGAGCCCAGGAAACGCCCTCGAATATCTTACTCAAGCGCCTGAGGCCACGGCTTTACATCCCAACTTTGACTGCTCTTTGGGGCACGATATGTGCTCTGTTTGCCGTAGTCCAGTCGCCTGGGGCTCTCATCGCGATCCGTTTTTTCCTGGGTGTGGTAGAAGGCGGCTTCCTTCCTGGCGTCGTGTTCTGGCTTGGTTCATGGTACCCTCGTCACGTACAGGGTCGCCGCTTCGCTGTCTTATACAGCACTGTTTCCGTACGTGGTCTTCATACGAGAGTTTGGCCAGAGTGTTGACGCACTCACAGCTTACGGGTGCCTTCGGTGGTCTACTTGCGACAGGCATCCACTCTCTTGATGGCGCTCATGGGATCGCCGGGTGGAGGTGGATCTACATCGTCGAGGGAGTCGTCACTGCAGGACTCGGCCTTCTTGCATTCTTTGTCATGGTTGACTACCCGGTCACGGCAAAGTTCCTCACCCAACGCGAGCGCGAAATCGTGATTCGGGCAAATGAAGCGGATCGCGCTCTCAAGGCCCAGGAGGTGTTCGACCGGAAGCTGGTCCTGAGCGCGTTCACGGACTGGCGTACCTACGTCTGGGCGCTGGTGTTCCTATCGACGTACATCCCCGTGTATAGTGTCATTCTCTCGCTTCCGTCGGTCGTCACGGGCCTCGGATACAGCGGCACGACAGCAACTCTGATGGCTTGCCCACCATACGGTCTCGGGTTCATCATCGTACTGACGGCCGGCTGGACTGCTGACCGGTATGGGAAGCTATACTTCCACTACGTTGGCTCTATCGTCGTGACGATGATTGCGCTCATTGTGCTCATGTCCACGACGAACCTCGTCGCGCGCTACGTGATGTTCTTCTTCATCATGTTCATGTCAGTACACTTCCTTCGCCTTGTACTCGACTGTCGACTGATCGCTCTTGTACAGGTTCATCCCCATCTCAATCATCTGGGCATGGGCGTCGAGCAACATTGCGGGCTCGAATAAGCGTGCCGCAGCAACGGGCTTCATCTTCAGCTGCGGAAACATCGGTGGTGCCATCGCAGGCCAGATCTATCGCGCCGCTTGGGCCCCTCGCTATGTCCAAGGACATGGAATCAACCTCGCCTGTTATGTCGTCGCCCTGTTGGCCGGCACTGCGCTCTGGGCGAGCTACCGCAGGGATAATGCTCTACGTAAGGCAGCACAGGGTGCTGCGAGCGACGAGGAAGGTGCACAAGAGCACAAGGTCATGTTGGGAGAGGACCTCGGGGATCTGGGAGACAGGTGTGTAGTTGGACATACCGACTTTCAACGTGCTGACTCAATGTGCAGACACCCGAGCTTCAGATACTACTTGTAGAGGATTGATTGCCTCTGATATAAGAGTCTCCATATACGAATAATCATGTAGCATACCAGCGATACCACATAGACCGCCTCCTCTTGTAATGTCCTCGCTATGATATTTTCTCGCTCCATCAACCTGTCAGAAAACAACTTGCCGCTCAATCTCATCGCGCGCCGTCGATCTGCCAGAGTGGTCGCGGTGATGTGCCAAGCGGCATGTCCCGACCGAAGTCCGCGCCTGGCCGCGCTCTTCTCCCGCCACCGCGCGCCTCTCCGGCTCTCCGCCGTCGAGCTCCATGCCGATCCAGTGTCGTCTGGACACGTTCCTTGTTGAAAGCTACATGTGGAAGACGAAAGCATGACAGCCCGCATGGGCCTCTTCATAGTGCACATGGACAGGGCCGACGGCGCCGAAAGGCTCGCATGCTCTCTCTTAAGTATGCGGAACCTCCCCGTCTAGCTCTAATCTTCTCCTATCACCCATCATGACCTCCCCTAACGGGCTTCTCTGCTTCACCAACTGCTTGCTGCCCCATGAAGATGGCAGCCTTGTCGAGAAGGACCTCTGGATCGACGAGAAGCGTGGTGTGGTGCTCGATGCTCAAGTATGTGATCTCAGTGTTCCTGATATCCGACTACGACTGACAGCGTGTCCAGAAAACATTCTTCGAGCAGGGCCAAAGGCCTGCACGGGTAATTGACATGGGCGGAAACATAGTCAGGTATGATAGTCGATGACTTCTACCCGAAGCAGTAAACCGATCTCGCATTTGCCTGCAGCCCCGGCTTTCTGGACATCCAGATCAACGGCGCTTACGGATTCGACTTTTCCGTCTATGACGGAGACGATGAGGCTTACCGCAAAGGGCTTGAGCATGTGGCTGAGAAGATCGTTGAAACTGGTGTCACCGCGTACGCACGTTGCTTGTACTGCATACTGCCGTCTCCTGATCTATATACAGCTTGATACCCACGACTATTGTAAGTTCTCTCTGTTCTGGTGCCTCCGGCTGTGCTCACCTAGGTTTGACAGACGCAAGAAAAGTCACTCTACCCGAAGATCCTAAACCTATTGCGCCCGTACTCGCATCCCACAGGCGCGACTTTACTGGGCTGGCATGCAGAGGGCCCTTTCATCCAAATGGCGAAGCGCGGAGCTCATGCGCCGCCCTTCTTACGGAGTGCTCCGGAGGGTATCAAGTCCATTGAAGAAGTCTACGGCGCCAACAATCTTGCGCATACGGAAGACTGGATGGTCGACACTGTAGGAGATAAGATTGGTGTTCGCATCATCACGGCCGCACCGGAGGTAGACGGTATCCTTGACTCCGTGAAGGAGCTTACCGACCGCGGTGTGGTGTTTTCTATTGGGCACAGGTACTTTGTGCAAATCGGGCGACCCTTGTCCGAGATCGCTAAACTGCATGTAGTATCGCAACCACCGACATCGCCACCAATGCAGTCCGCCGAGGCGCAAGACTGATCACCCATCTCTTCAACGCCATGCCGCAACTGCACCATCGCGACCCGTCTATCATCGGCTTGCTCGGAGCGTCGCCCCACCTTACCTCCCATTTCAGCCCAATCGGTAGTTCGGAAATGCACACGCTCAGCCGATCCGACTCTCCTACTCCTGCACACACTCCAGCCGTTGGTGAGGCGCTTGTTGAGCAGCACACTCCGCCGCAGTCTCCTATGCTGGCCGCTCAGCGTCGCGAGGAGAAAGTGCCAAAGCTTCCTGGTGGGGGACTTCAGCGCCGCCAGTCAGAGCCGAGTGCTCCTTTCGTGCGACCATTCTACGAAATGATCGTTGATGGTATTCATCTGCACCCGAACTCTGTCCGCGTATGTCTGCCTTTTCGCTACTCTCGAACCCCTGTCCCTGACGCTCTATTCCAGCTCGCATACAACGTGTATCCAGAGGGCTGCATCCTCATTACTGATGGTGACTACCCCTTCTTCATGGGTCATTGCATGTTACTGAGAGAGAAATAGCGATGAAGATCCTTGACCCGAATCTTAAGGATGGTGTTCATGAATGGCGCGATGGAAAGCGGTTTGTGAAGGAGGGCGTGAAGTTGTACCTCGAAGGAACCGACACACTCGCCGGCAGGCACGTACTTCTCCTTTCGCTGGCGTTGTACTCACTGACACTCCGACTACACCAGTGTCATCACGCTGGATAAGTGCGTCCGCAACTTCTCGCGCTTCACGGGTTGCACTCTCGGCGAGGCCATCAAGTGCGCAACCTACAACCCCGCTAAGTAAGTGGAAATACCCTTTGCGGCTTCTCATTTCGGTCATGCTTACCTTGTATCAGGGCCCTCGGCATCGAGAACCGTAAGGGCACACTCCGCCCGGGCGCCGATGCAGACCTGGTCGTGCTCGATCGGACTGGGCACGTCGTGAGCACTTGGGTTGCAGGCAAGCAGGTCTGGACCAAGCCTTGAGTCCATGTGATGTGGACGTTCTACCGAGCAGAAAACACAGTATCGTACGCTGTAAATCGTCATTTATACTATGTTGTACATGGGGCCCGCCCTTTACAGTTGAATAGAATGTCTTGCCCGTCTTTGGTTTCCGTTGCATGGCGAATTGATGTATTAGCGGTGTTCGCTCGGGTAGCGGGGCAGCATCTCGAACTCATGGAGGTAAAGAGGGCGCTCTATGAGCAGACGGTGGTGATATAACAGTGCGAAAACAACTAAAAATACAGTGGTGTGACAGTCTAGGCTCCAAGGTAGGTTACTAGGCGGGGTAGGATGAGGTTAACACAACAACAGCAGGGCTGAGTACACGAAAACAAGTAAAGACAGACAACGAGACGGGACCCGGAATTGAGCACGGGTGGAAGATCTAGTGTTACAAATCCGAATGAGGCAACTGAGTAGTCACGAGAATGCCCGAGGAGAAGGTGGGGAAGTAGGGATCGCAGAGTCCGAGGTTGTGGGTGCGGCCGACATCTAGCCGGCAGGCGCAGATTGTGATGCTGTTGGTGTGGGATTCGCCGGAGTGAATGTCGCTATTGATGCGAGGTCGACAGCAGCGATGGAGGTGGAGGTGGGTGCGGAGGCGGACAGCGTAGTTGCCACGCCTGATGATGACACTTGTGCCGATGGTGCGGCAGCGGCAGCGGCAAGCTGCTTCATGCTGGACAGCATGAGGATCAGGCCCTCTATGAGGTCTGCCATTGCAGATTGCCCTCCGGATACTTGTGTTGTGGACGAGTCTCCAGAGGCGTCGGATGGGGTCTGCAAGTAAACGTGAGTGGCTATTCAGAAGGTAGCGCTGAAAGTAGACTAACCGTCGCAATGCGACATTCCATCCTTGGACACCGCGTCTCAATGGCAGCTTGTGGTAATGGTGCAGCGGTGACAAGAGGTGCGACTACCAAAAACGGTAAGCATGAGGACCGAAACCAAGGGATGCGCGGACGACGTACAGGTTGTCGCGACCAGCAAACAAAAGATGAAGGAAAGAATGACGAAAGCACGCATATTAGCAACTCAGCAGTGTAATAGTGGATTGCGTGTGGGGACTAAGCCTGAGGGTGGCCCTCACAGAAGCCCATAGCTTATGACAAGGCAGGTAACAAAGCTCGTCCCAAAACGGAAGGCCGTCCCGTTTTGGGAACTTGAAAGTAGTCAACCGCCCTGAAATACCAAGTTCGCCGACACAGCATCATATCAATCGGTAGCCTGAGAATCAAGCGCTCTGTCGCCGAAGGTATCCCTTCTCCTTGAGGTGTAGTCCGCCTGGACCTACTGTCCTCGACAGCCAGGTCTACCTGTCAGCGATTAAGTCGCCTCCAGACCCGAACATGACATTTTGCTCATGCTGGTGCCAGTCGATACGTAGCACAAGGAGGGGCCATGCCTCTGGCAAGTCCACGCTCCGAGGGGATCCGAAGGGGATGGCGGGTTCGTACGGGTAGGTCATCAGCGATACACAGAAGTCGCCTGTATGCATCTGGTATCAGTAGGGAAACGAACAGGGCTTCGCCCTGGAAGAGCCGTAACGGGGCCTGTAGAACCTGCAGCGAAGCCTCGACGCGAGGGCGAAGAGCAGAACCTCGACCTTCGCTCGTCCCTAAACGGCCGCCCCGTTCTTCAACCTCTCCCTAAAAAGCGCGATTGCTTGATGCCGATCAGGCTAAATTACCCCCGTGGGTTCAAGACAAGTGCTCAGGGACGAGAAAAGAGAAGCGCTTGAACCCGCTGGTAACAATGGCCCACGATTACCTTTTTGGGAACAAGACGCGTCGGCTCGCGAAGTTGACCGGTTTCTATTGGAGACTGCAGCTGCCGTTATGTGAGTACATGCGTGAAGAATATGGGCATCGGCATGCTGAGGTTATCACTCACATGACGATCGCCACAGCTGCGACGAGGCCGAAGCCGCACGAGTAGTTTTGTTCGTGAGTATTGAGCGCACATGAAGAGATTGCATTGCAAGTATTGATATAGAGGTCGGGTCAGCTGGGAAGCTAGAACCTGAAGCTCTGACAAGAAGTGCCGTAGATAAAGCTAGGAGATATATAACGATATCAATGCAACGAATAGAGAGCGACGACAAGAGCGACAGCCACGCAACAGCTCGTGAAGATGCCGACGGCTCTGTCAAGAACCGTCCAGGCGAACGAGACGACTCCAATGAGTAGAAGCGTGAAGCCGATGAGCGTGAAGGCGCTACATGCACGATGGCAACGTAGCAGTAGTCGGCTCAGCGCGTCGATGTTGGTCTCCGGGTCGTCATCGTCTGGGCCTGGCTCGGGGCTGGTGTTGACCTTCTTCCTGGTGAAAGGATGCACCACCTCGATGTAGATATGCGACGACGGTGACGACGGAAACGCCACCGAGTGCAACCAGTCGTTCAGAGCGGATGTCGAGCGCGTCAAGAAATCCAGCGGTGGAGACAGCAGCGGAGAAGACGGTGATTGTTGGTGAGCGGAAGGATGTATCTTGGTATCGCGCGCGTGGCTGGAATGCGTCCCGGGCGGATGGTGTCCTGCGATGTGAACTGCGGGGTGTTTGGCGGCGACTTTGGGTGAGTGGAAGGTTGGCGGAGCAGAGTGCGTTTCAGTAGGTATAGACGGCGCATTGGCCAGTTTGAACTGGATCAAGACAAACGCGCCAATGTATGATAGAATCGCTGAACGCCAGGGCTGCAGTCAGTACATTATATATGTCATCCATCTGGCTAAGGCTCACCCGCTGCCGCGTGGAATACTAGGGCACCCGAGAAAGCAGACGTCATCAGCTCTCCAGCATTGGTATTGTTGTGCTGATTCACGGAAAGCGAGAAGAGGAGGCTGTCAATCGACGTGAAGAATGTTGCCTGTCAACAGTCAATGAGTTCAGTAAGAGGCCAGCAACTTTGAGATGAACATTCAGACTTACAAGCACACTGGCAAGCTGGAGCCGGTCAGACCTATTTTGAAATGAGCTGGAGTCCCGTACACAGTTCGATGAGCTTCTGAACGTACCATATAGACACGATTTGTGTGCGTGCACGACTACGGGAATCTCCTCCGGCGGCATCCCCCTTGGCGGGCGCATCTGCTCTACTAGTCAACACCATGTCTTCTACACGAGATGAGCCGGACATACAGTGCGCTACATCCGTGGCAGGCGGCCATGATGCATCATTGCCTCCATTCGTCGGGCTGGAACCGCCTCCATTATCTATCCCGAAGGCTCACATCAGCCCGCCGCGCCGCATTACGAGGATTGCTAAACGCACCAGCCATGGCTTATCTTCTCGTAAAGAGTCGTAACGTCGTATGCGGGTCGTGAGGGTTCGCAAAAAAGCCCAGGAAAGCGAGCCTGGACGATGTGCGCTTTAAGAAGCCCGTTCCAAGGACGCTCGCCGCCACCAAGCGAAACTCCATCACGAGGATCATCATCGGCGTCCCGCCGTGACCATATCAAGCAAGTGCGACAGCTTCTATACCCGCGG